CTTTGTTTGAACTCGGGAGATCAAGACTGCAGTGAGCGATGATCTTGCCACTGCACTCCAGTCTGGGTGACACAGCAAGACCCTGTCTCCAAAAAAAGGAGAAAAAAAGAGAAAGAGAAATAGAGTCAGAATAAAGTATGTGTAGCGGGCCAGGCTGTCAGGGACTCTGCAGTCACACCCAACAAAGAATATTCCAGAGACGTGGGCTGTTAATCATGTTGGGATTTAGATCCCTCCTCAAATATTTGGACAGGCTGCCAGGCAGGAAAGGAGCAAGAGAATTTTGTATGATTCCCAAAGGAGAATTAGGACCCCTGGGTTTAAGTTGTGGAGATGCAGATTTGGGCTCAGCATAAAGAGGAATTTTTCAATCATTACGGTGATGCGGGGAGGGAAAGGGGAGGGGACTTGGTGGCCCCTCCCATGGGTGCCCACAGCACCCTGGGGTCTCCCACCTCCCATGCCTGTTCTCTGAATTCTTTGTGACTCTCTGGTTCCATTAGGAACTCCTTGACCTTCGATCCGTGGGCATACGCTGAGGGAATACCACCCTAGGCCCAGGAACCAGAGATCCTCCTGGCCTTTTCGCTTTCTGTTCTTTCAAGCTGCTCCAGATAAAGATGTGAGGTCTCCAAGGCTCCCTCCCTGGAGCTCAGAGAAACCAGCACGGAAAGAAAGAGACTTTCATTTGTTTTGACCCACCTGTTCCCAGTGATGTTGCTGTGGCCTTACTGTGACTCAGAACTTTCTCCCAAATCACTTTCTCCCATGTCCTGGTGACTTTCGTGGAACGTCCCTGTAAACACTGTTTAATGTACTGGCCTCCTCCACAGGGCCTCACACACCCTGACAGCCCGTGGCTGGGCTGGGCTTACATGTAAGTGCACCCCTGTGGTGCCTGGGCCTTGCATCCTCCACAAAAGAGCAGGTGGAGGATATGGCTGGTGGGGGTCAGAAGCCTGCAAAACCAGGAACCCAGGACTGACAGCCAGGGCACCTTTGCTTCATTTTATGCGTGTCCTTCTATGCCTGGAGCTACTCTGCACTTAAGAAATATGTACTTTTCATGCAATGCTGTTAGGATTCAGAAGAGTTCTCCTTGGAAAGCAGAGTCAAGGCTTACTCATGGGCAAATTCCCAACTGCCTCCAGCATTGGAGCCCTGTGGGCATCTGGTCCTCTCTGTCTCCAGGAAAGTGGAGTCTGAGGTAGGACTCACACCTCGATTTGCACTAACAGAAGTCTTTTTCTTATGTCAGCCTTCAGCTTCCACTTTCCTGGTCACCTTTCTTAGCTTTTTCTCTGCTGATGCCACCCCTGACTCATGGAATTACCCCAGACACCACAGGGCTTATGGGATTCTCACAGTGCACAAGTTTTCAGGGTGACCCGCCCTGTGAGTGCCTTCAAGTGGAAGCCGAGTTAGTGCTCAGAGCAACAGGGGCACTGATGAAACTGTGAAAAGCACCTTGGCAAGGACGGAGCCTGAGCTCATAATGGGAAGGCTAGCCAGCCCTGCTGCCAGTATCCAGGAAGGCAAACTCTCTCCTAGGGGACTTCTAAACCAGGCTCAATATCCAGTTATCTGTAGTGTCGCGGTTATACCCATCCAACCACTGATTCAACAACCAGCCTCCTGTGGGGAATGCAGGTCTTATTCTTGCATGACTTGGAGGTTCCTGATACCTCTACTGACATCCAACAACTGCTAACTCAAGTACCTAAGAGGGTAGGGTGGGGAGGAATGCCAGCCCAGAGCTGGTATTTGCATTATGTGCTATGCACTCACAAAACATTATTTTAGTTTTAGGGATACTGAATAATTCTTCCCAAAAAACTCTGCATTTGGTGACTATCCTGTTCCTGGTCCTGAGTTTGCTCACGTCGCTGCTGAGCTCTGGGTTTACCTTCTACAACAGCATCAGCAACCCTTACCAGACGTTCCTGGGGCCGATGGGGGTGTACACCTGGAACGGGCTCAGCGGTGAGTGGCCCTGTGAGACCCGGTGCTCTGCAGAGGACCGCATCCCTCTTGTCCCCGTGTCTCCACCTCTCACACACGCATGAACATACAGTCACGTTTACACCAAGGAAACTATGAGGACCTCCCATGAGCTAAGGGCTGGGGTTTATTTTGTCAATCCAAAGTGTTTATGAAGCATCTCTGGAAATATAATTCTGTTTTAAATGCACTATTGAGGAGACTTATAACAAGCCAGCCTTTGCTTTTGAGACTCTAACGTAAGAAGTCAAAATGCACAAAAGTCAACAAAATATTGACCGGGCTCCTGCCATGTGCTTAACTCCAAACTAGGCTCTGTGTGGCATATAGAAGCACACACATGTGCATACACATACACATGCACACACACATGCGCATACACACACCCATGTGTGTACCCACACACACATGAGCACACTGGCACACTCCTCCTTCTCTTTCCTCTTCCACATGGCAAGAGTCCACTTAGTCTCCACACATGACATCTCTGCATGCTCGTGCCACAGAGCCACAGATAATGGCACATAAGAGAATCTGGGGGCAATACCTTTCTTGTGGGCTACCTGTGAGCCTGGGGTGTGGCTGGGTGGTGTTGCTTGGTTATTTTATTTGTTTCATGGGTGTGGTGCTGGGAGGATGGAGCCCAGATGGGAAGTGGGTCCCAGCTTTGACTCACAGTCTTTTGGCTTTCACTGGGTTTTGCCAGGGCTCTGCGGCTGCCCATCTGCCCAGAGCAGGGCCGGGGAAGTGCCTCTTTGCCCTGCTCAGCTGCCTTCAGGGCCTTGCTCCCCCCAGGCAGCCAGGTTTCCCCTGTTCTTTCCCTCTCTCCATCATTGCAACTGGACCTTGGGAATGAAGCCTGTCCTAAGGAAATGATTTCTGAGGGTGGCTTCACATAAGCTTCAGGTGACACATTTTAACACAGGCCTGAAATTTTCAAGCACAAGAAGGGGGCTCTGGATATCAGACATGTCAGGAAGCCTGAAAGGAGGGGCTGAGAGCAGCATCATCCTGTCCCTCCGTTGAGTGTCATCCTTACCACGAGGCAGGCGCAGGTGGCTGGAGGAGGCCAGCAGCTCCATGCCATGTAGTAGAGATGTGCTGAGGAATATGAACAACTGGCTCTCCAGTGGGGAGAAACAAAGAGAGAAAAAAGCCCTGGTGATTGGAATGGTGTAAGCACAGCCACGTGACCGTTTTCAAACTCCCAATGTGAGATCACTGACGTGGAGTTGAGATGTAAAAACCGGCCCCAGCGCAGCACAGGTAGGACGGTGAGGGATGCTTTTTAAAATGGAAAAGCATTAAGCCAGGACTACAGGTGGGCTGGGTTTCATTACATAATCACACCCCAGCTCCGAGGATTTGGGGTCAGGCTGGTTTAACCACATTCATATGTGACTGGCTCTTTCTTTCTGTGCTTGTATTGCTTGGTGGTAAAAACAAATAAATCCCCCAATTTAATGGGCAGCCACTGTGGACGAGGCACAACAGTCCTGTAGAATGAATATCACTGCTTCTCTTTCTTAGAGCAGAGCTGAGTGTCAGAGGTTAAGGGACTTTGTTACAAAATCAGATATACTCACCTGAATGCCAGAGTCTTTTGCCCAAGCTACTTGCATGATGATGGTTCACCCCTGTCAACCAAAACCAAAGGTAAACCAATTGGTACCCATGGCCAGGGCAAAGAGATAGATTATTTTTACTTTTGCTGATGTGACTAAGAAAGCACGAGAAGCAGTGACTTCAGACACAGCTCGAGTTAGGGTCTTGGCCCGTGTCATGAGGACTGTTTCCTGCCATTGCTCCATCTATCGGAATCCTCGGTGTTGACTCCATCATTCATTAATTGGCTGGATCAATCCTCTTGAAGATAAGATGACTGCTGGCCACTCTGGGCTCATTGCTGATGGTGGCAGCCCCAGGAGAAAAAAACTTCTCATTTCCTTCAAATTCAAAGAAAGTCCTGGGCTCCTTTGCACTGGCATTGCCCTTCTCCCATCCCTTGACCAATCTCTGTGGCCAGCAGGGTTGAATTCCCCAAGCCATCCACTGATTGACTAAGGCTACCTGCCCATCCTGGAGCTGGGGCTGGAGTCGGCCCTTCCCCAGCCACAGGGGTGAGTGGGGAAGGAAGACTGCGTTCCTGGAGGGAAAACAGGAACCAGGGCCAGAGTGGAGGGCCAGGTGTGGCGCCGGCCGAACCACAGGGGCCCAGCATTGCTGTGTCTGCAGCCTGCAGGGTTCAAAGTCTGCCACCTCTTCCGTAGGCTGTGGCTTCCACATCTTTGCTCCTCCACAGTGGAGTATGGGCTGGCTTTGCATATAGCAGAGGCCTCATGCATGTTTGGGAATAAAAACAGGGGCCAGACAGCCTCCCCATAGCCCTGCCTACTCCTATCCACAAAGAATTATTGGATAGAGAGGGAATTCCTGCCACCTTCCTTTCCTGGCTCAGGGGCAAGTTCTAACACACAGAGGGAGGCTGTGAGGTGGGCAGAAAGCAGCCTGAGAGGTTGATGTGGAAGGAGCAGATTGCGTTCTGCTGCCTGCCTAGGAGAAGGCCTCGCACAGCTTGGCTTCCTCTAAATGCCCCTTGAGGCCTCTTGACCCTAATGCTTTGATAGGCCTGACTTTTGCCCAAGGTAACCCTTTGAGGGCCCTGATTTTCTTCACAGGAGCTTTGAGGGTTGGAGAACTTACTGAAACTCTCAGTTTCAAGGAGGCTCAGCCTGCAGAAGGGTTTGTGTGCAGAGATGCCTTAATTCTTGCCTTGGGTCATGGCTGTGAGAGAGCACGATCAGACTGACCTCTGGGAGTCCTGGGGCCAAAAGGAATTGCTCCAAACCCCTAGGGGCTGGATTTGAACAACCTCTGCTTAGCCAGCAGATGTTGGGTAGGGAAGGAAATGGGTTTGCTGGCTTGTTTCTGATAGAAAGAAGCAGTTTCTGCTTTGAGGAGACAAATAGCAGTCTCACTTCCTAGGTTCCCGTGACCTCTGACCTCAGCCTACCCTCTGCACCACACTGACCTGATGAGGCTGCATCCTGACCTCAGGGGATAAAATTGTCGACGGAGAGAAGCTTGGAGCCAGAGAGAACTTTGCAGACCGCCTGTTCCAAATACATTTGTGTCTCAACTGGGGAACCCAGAGAGCAGAAAGGGATCAGTAGGTCACGGGGCCCGAGGGTCACAGACCAGGACAGAAGCCAGGGTCCGTGAGCCTTCCGAAGCTCCTCATCTACCCCGGGGCTTCCTCCAGCCCCTGTAAGTCCTTCTGTCCCAGAGGCTGGAGAAGCCTGGCAGGTAGAGGCTCTGGGCATCTCGTCACTAAAGGGGACTCAGGTTGGCATTTTGTGTCTGTGTGTCAGCCCCTCCCGATTCAAATCAAAGTTCTAGGCAGCCCGCTCTGGAAAAAAGCATTTAGCCTATATTCATCCTGCCCCTTTATGATTAAGCTTTTATAAGAAACTTCACAAGAGGAAAATGAAAGATAATTAAGGCCGTGAGGCACCCGGAGAGCTTCAGAGGGCCAGGGCTTTTGTTCGGACAAATTATTAAGAAATAAAACCATTATGTTGAGGATGAAGGTCTGTCATCAAGGAGCGTTTAAAACATTCTCCTCATACAAAGCCCCTCTAATTAAGGCCTTTTGAAGGACCGTTTGGAAGGTTTCCCTAGGTGTGGGTTATAGCAGGATACATTTGATGTCCACTGAGTTCCGGGTACGTGGCGGCAGACAGAGTCTCAACGGGCTTCTGTGGCCAGGATCCCCTGGCGGCCCCCTCTGCACATCAAACCTCACTGGGTGAGCCTATTCACTGGCCTCATCACAGGCCCTGGAACATAGGCATCCTTATCCTCCACAACCTTTCTTTTAACAGCTTTATTGACACATGAGTCACACAGCATAAAATTCACCCATTAAAGTATACAATTCCATGGTTTTTTGTATGTTCTCAGACATGTGCAAGCCTCCCCACTGCCAATTTTAGAATCTTTTGATCATCTTGAAAAGAAACCCCATGCCCGTTAGCTATCACCCCCTCCCAGCCCACTTCCAGCCCTAGGCAACCGTAAAAGCCCTAATCTACATTTTTGTTTGTTTGTTTGTTTCTATCTCATCTCCTTTGGAAGATGAGGAATGAAACTCAGAAAGGCTACATGACTCGTCCAAGTTCACCTAGCTAGGATTTCCAATCCTGTTCTCTCTGACTCCAGAACTACATGCTTTTAACTAGACAAAAATGGCTCTCCCAAGTCTGTACTGAAGCATGTTCTTTAAGGCCAGGCACAGTGGTTCACACTCAGCACTTTTGCAGGCCGAGGCAGGTGGATCACTTGAGTCCAGGAGTTCGAGACTAGCCTGGGCAACATAGAAAAAGCTGATCTCCACAAAAAATTAGCCAAGCATAGTGGCATGTGCCTGTAGTCAGCTAGTCAGGAGGCTGAGGTGGTAGGATCAATGGAGCCCAGGAGGTGGAGGTTCAGTAAGCTGAGATCATGCCACTGCACTTCAGAGCCCAGGGGACAGTGAGACCCCATCTCAAAACAAACAAAAAAGCATGTTTTCTAGTGAAGGATATTGTGAAGAATAAAAAAGGGAAGACAGAAACGTACAATAAGTTCTCTTCTCTAATGAGTTTTGTAAGGAGATCCCTCCTGATTAGACACTCTTGCCAGCGGCATCATATGCCATGAGATTCAAGCTCCTGGGATGGCATTTTTGTGGCTCGCAGGGCAGCCCAGTCTCGGTACCCAGTTCTTAGGACCCTGGGACCTCTCCCCAGCAGCTGAGCTTGTATCTCACAGTCCCAGATGCTTCAGGCCCACTGCCCACCCAGGGTCTTTATTGAGGCAGCTTCATCCATCTGTGATGCCCTGTCCTTCCTCAGCTCTTCCCAGACCTCCTTATACAGCTTCTTTCTGAACTGTACTATTCACTCATTCATTCAGCACACTACTACTGCATTCACCACCTAGGAAGTGCCCTGTTTGGTAGACCAGTTGCACAACTACTTCTGAAAGCGTTTGAGTCAGCATGTTTGCTGTTGGTCATACACAGCCGTGCACAATCTTTAGTGTTCTATGCCTAGACATCTAGTTTGTGTCTTACAATTTTGTATCTTCTCCCTAGTGCTTAAAAGAGTGTAAACTCCCGTGCAGATATTCAATACATACCCACAGATGTGTGTTCCGTAAAGATAAGTGACATTAAAAACTGTATCACCATGCCATGCATGAAACTCCATCTTCTTTTCAGCATCCTCCGTTTTTGTGACCATGATACTGTTTGTGGCGAACACACAGTCCAACCGTCTCTCTGAAGAGTTGTTCCACATGCTTTACCCGACAACCGCCAGTAAAGGAACGACCCACAGTTACGGATACTCGTTCTGGCTCATACTGCTCATCATTCTTCTAAATATAGTCACTGTAACCATCATCATTTTCTACCAGAAGGCCAGATACCAGCGGAAGCAGGAGCAGAGAAAACCGATGGAATATGCTCCAAGGGACGGAATTTTATTCTGAATTCTCTTTCACCTCATTTTGGCATTGCCTCTGTTTTACATCAGCCCTGAGTAGTAACTGGTCAGCTTCTCTGGACAATTCAGCATGGTAACGTGACTGTCATTGATGACAGTGTTTGTGTTTCGTGACACTGTATTCTTCATTGATGCTGTACTCCTGAAAAGTTTCTCCCACAAGGTTGGGGAAAATGAATGGGAAATATAGCCCGTCTGTGTGGCTTTCAAAGCAGTAGCATCATGACGAGCGTAACGACCCTTCTGACCTGGTCTCACGATCTGAAATAATAAAAGGTTGTGTCATGTTTCTTTTCTTTGAGTATCTCAAAGCACTTCAGCTCCTATGATCTCATTCCCCTCAGGAGGGACCAGGTATTTTTATTCTACTCTATACATGAAGACTTCTGAGAACAGAGGGTTTCAGAACTCACCTTTCCAGGACCAAGTGCTGGAGGCAAAGAGAGACTTTGGAGTAAATGACTTGGTTCTCTGGACCCTCAGTTGCTGGCATATTCAAACCCAATGGTGGGTAAAAGTAATTATATGTGATCCTCAAACACATTTTTGAGATTCTAAGATGGGGTTTGGGTCAGAAAGAGAATAGAAATGAGAAGATCAGAGAAAGAGAAAAATGATAGCCCTGTGGTCTATATGGTAAAGAGGCTAAACATTATATTTTTGGTTTAATAGGATTGTGGTGAATTCAGTCAAAATGGAAATGAAACATTGCAGCAAGTTCTAGCAACCACCGTGTCAACCAACAGCCTTAGTTTCTGTGGTGTAGACCCGGGTGTGGCAGGTCTGATGGGGGTGTGTCATCCATCAGCAGGCTCCTGCCCAGCCAGAGACTGAGGGAGAAATGGGTTGGAACACCGTGGCTTGCAGGCATTCATTCCTTGAGTCAAAGACAGGGCAAACGTGGAATGCGGGCATGGGGTAGGGTAGCCCTTTGAGAACAGATTGGGTGGTTCCCGGTTTCATGAGAAGCCAGTGGGCAACCAGGAAAATTTTTTAAAGGCAACAGAATGGATCTGACCTTCTTTCCAGTAGACTATTTTCCCAGAAAATCACTTTGAGAATCTTTTGCGCTTGACTAGTTCACAAGTTAGCCAGGTTGAACACTGATAGGGTTCTGAAATGATCACCTTGCATGTCTTGATGGGACTAGGGCCAAAAGGAGCAGAATTTCCTGGGTGTGATCTGCAGAGCAGCATCTCTTTGGGCAGAAGAATATCTCATTTATGAAGCTACCAGGGATTAATGACCTTCTTACTCATTATTTTTTAACACTGTCTTAGAAAGAATATTTTTCATTTAAGAAATACACAAAAGAAAACCGCCAAGGCGCCAACAAAAGGCCAAACAAGGGGGCCGCCCCCAAAGAGCTACTGTTGGACAGTTAAGACAGCTATTCAGAAAGCAATTGCTAAACTCCATTTAAAAGAGGTACTTAGTCACAAATTGTGCTCATTCGTTGAAAGGTCGGTTCTCTATCACATTCTGCCCTAAAGTCCTACTTATTCAAAGTTACTCTTAATATTAAATTTGAATGTATTTGTAAAAATCTGATCAACAGTGAGCATTTTCTAAATTCTTTGGATCTAGAAACACATTCTTTGAAAGCTTGCATTTTATATCAGATTTTAATAATGTGAACAAGTAATGAAGAGGAAACAGCTATAGATAACAAACCCACAGAAACAATTGCTAAATAGGCACTCACATCGTGTGTTTGTGTGAATGATTGTGTATTGTGGAAAGAGCACTGCATTTATTCGCCTCAGCATTGGAGCAGAGCGCGGTTTCCTTAGCGGGAAACATGTTCTTAGTACTTATATCACAAATGACCTTTAAAACGTGGGAAGCAGGTAAATGGAACTCTATTTCACAATTTGGGAGACGAAGAGAACGGTTTCCTTTATGTGTTTTAAGGCAGAAGATAATGAAACTACACATTCAAAGTCTGTAGAAATGGCTTTAATGCTATTCACAAGCACAGGTGGGTGTGCGTTTCACAAGCACAGGTGGGTGTGCGGAAGGGTGAACACCTCCATGCCTCGGCCTACAAGATGGGTGGATGGCATAGTGAGGCAACAATTCATTACACAATGAATAGTAATTTGCTGTTTTAAAATGACTTAATAAATGGACATTGTTTTACATTTGGTGAATGGATTTGCCTGAAGCACTATTTTGAAGGGGTCTGAACTAGTCATATTATGACCCTTGAAACATTGTATGACTCTAATGAAGCCACATGGTCTTGTTATGATGATCTGGGTTACAAGGTTTATCCATATTTGCAAAATAAGTAAGTTGTGTAAAATACATGCTCTTCATATAGTCTATGATGATAACTTTAGAGAAATCAATACTTTGTTGTCAAACTGATTGGGCTCAGCCAGTGAGTTAGTGTTTGCAAAGCACTGGGGTACAGGAGGGAACCTCCAGGTGAGCTTTGCTTTTGCCATTATAATTGTGTCTGATCATCTCAACAAACCCTGTGGGTTAGGCAGGATGGGAGCATTGCGTCCTTGGATATGATATTTCTCAGGGTCCGCCTAGTGATCCTGCAGCCTGCCTCACATGGCCATGCACTAGTGATGCCCTTGTATGCTGCCGGTGGAGTCGCAGGTACGTGCCAGCAGCTTCGTGCCTTTTGAGGCTGCTCAGCCTCTTGGAGGGCCTGGGACCCTGCAGATTCTGCAAAGGGCAGCAGGTGCTAAGCAGAGTTGGCACTCCTTCCCCACCCCTGCCTACCCAGCAACCCTCCTTCTCTTACACTGGAACCGGTCATTCAGGGTAGACTCACAGCAGGTTTCTGGTTGACTAATCTGTTGCCTTTCTACAACCCAGACAACAGGCAAGATGTGTAGGGGGCAGGGATGGCTCAGAGTCAGGGGCCCTCTGACCCTGAAATTCCAGTGTAGAGAGAAGCTGGGGTCCCTTGGTCCCTGCGCCCCTCTGGACTCTTCAGACCCAGCACTGAGAACTTTCAGGGGCCTCAGGCAGATAAAGTCGTCAGCCAGTGGTGCAGAGGATGGATCCCTCATAACAACTGACCAGCTCTCTAGCCCGGGTCCTCATCCCCTGACCCCTTAGGCGCCTCTGCCTCCCAGGACTTGAGAACATGCGTAGGCTGCTCTGACACTCCACAGACAGCGGTGAGAAACCAGCAGTCACTGCCTACTTCTGAGCTCATCTTTCCTCATGAAAAATAAATACATAAATGAATGAGTAAGATAATCAACAATCAGTGCAGGATGAAGCTGGGAAGTTCTGGGGTCACGCTGCCTAGGATCTGCTACTCACGACTCAGAGAAGTGACTTTATCTCAGTCAGCCTCATTCTAATCATCCATGCAATGGGATCACAAGAGCTGGTTTAGCTTGCAGGCCTGTTGTGAGTGAGCCTTAATAAGGAGCTCTGTGCCCTTGACAGCTCAGGGTGGCCCCCTCTTTCACAGACCCATAAGTCCCTAGAACATAGTAGAAACTGTGGGTGGGACCCATGTCACCACCCTTAGCCACTGCAGGCCACACTCATTCTGCTGTCCTATAAACAAACAAGTAAAAAACAAACCACTTCGGCCCAGAGGGGTTAGTAGACCTGCCCAGGAACTCAAGCCGACAAGTGGCAGAGCCAAATGGAAACAGGTCTCCAAGTCCTTTCTTTCTGTGTTTGATTCATTTCCATAATTTGTGTGTATCAGGCCAATGAGAGGTGCTTGGGTAGTGTCAGGAAGGGAAGGAAGGGTGGCCCCTGGTCCCAGAACTGTGTCCAGGTGGGAAGTGTGGCATTCCTGGTGTGCCCCAGAGGAGGTAAGGACTCACATCACCCCGTTTGTGGGTCTCATGATGGGTCTTCTTTATTCAGAAGGAAAAGAGGCGGCTGGCTCAGGCAAAGGCATCCAATGTGCTTCATATGAACCCTTAGGTGAGCTTGGGTGCTGACCCCAGTGGGAGATGGTGGGGTCTGCATGGCCCTCCACACCTACCCAGAGGGGGACTTTGTGATTCTTCAAATAGAAGATAAAGCACTGCTGGTAACCAGGGTGCTGGTTTACTACAGCTGCACTGGAGAAGGGCCTGAGGTGTAAGGGATGTCTGTGAAACCTGAATGCCCCATGCGGGGTGGCAGTGAGGACGCCGTGGATACACAGGTACTATTTTCCCCGCTGTTAGGGCCGCCAATTCTGTGTTTGTTATGCTCTTGCTGACATATGTCCTCACGCTGCCCAAAGACCCTGAAAAATAAGGACAGTACTGGTTAGAATTTCAGACAATGTCCTAGTTTAAAAGAAAAAAGGAATTTGTTTTAGTGACAGGTTTCAGACCATGAAAGTTTCATTTTCAAAATGTTCAGATGTTTAGTAAAAAGGGAAAATTGAGGAAGAAATGAATTATATTTTATGACTATTCATTTTAGAAAAATCACTGTCAGAAAGAACACCCCTCCTGCTTCTCACTCCCCTCCCGCCAAGTGGCAGGGAGGCGTTTCATTTTGTCCTGGCCCTTGGTTTCGTCCTGGCCCGCGGAATGCCCTGCACCTCTGGCTCTCTTGGAGCACGCCACTTTGGCACCACGTTCAGCTCTCGTAAGTCACTGTTCCCATAGGGGGAAGCTTCTCCTTTTCTTACTCAGTGTAGGGACATGGTGGAGCCTCCCAGCGTCCCCCAGAAGAGAGTGGAGGTCCAAGTGGGGGTCCCAGTCCTTAAGGCTGTCTCAGCAGCAGAGACCACAGCCACAGGTGCCAGGCCTCGGGGGTGTGCCTGTCCCAAACCCTGCAAACAGCAGATTGTGTTGAATCCTCACAGCAAAAGCGTGTGTTGTTTTATAGTTAACCCCATCTGATAGATGAGCCACTAAGGCTGGGGTTGGCAAAGTGGTGACCCCACCATGCCACAACCAAGGAGGGGCTGAGCAGAGATTCTGATGCGGATTTACCCGCCAATGTCTCCTTGAGGCACACCTGGGATCTGTAGCCTGGCAGTGGCCCTGCGTGTGTACAAAAGGGTTGTATAGTCTGAAGTGCACATCCCAGCAGTAGACCTTGGCCTCCATCTGCTGGCCCCAGGCCCGTCTCATTTTGAGTAACCCAGTGTGCAGGACTCTTGTGGTGTATACACTGGCAAACATTGACCTTTTGACTACAAATGTAACCATTTTCACTGATCACTACATGCTGACCAGTGTCTTTTCTGTCTTCCTATATAGGTCCTGGTCTTAAGATCAATGAACCTTTTCCTTCCGCCAGGCTGGCAGATGGGAGGCATCGTTAGTTAACCCTCCTCTCCCACTTGGAAAGAC